ACAGATTACACAGATTACAAGTTACCCTATTTAAAATGTAATAAGTAGTGTAACTATTTCAATTACTTTATGTAACTGATTACATTTGATTACTTTTAATTTCTTTTCTAAATCTGTAATGTTTTGAAACAGAGCTGTTTTTGACAAGGTAAAAAGGGTGTTGTTTTACACGACCACTGAGACCATTTCAAGAATACCCTAAAGAATCATACCAACTTGTGGAAGATCAATGTCCCTTTTAAAGCACAGCCACCACAAAATCAGACTTTAGCACCTCTTTTTACTTTGAGATCGTCCTGAGGTTAAATACAGATTTAAAACCATAACAAGAAATAGTTTAATAGCTATGATGCTGTTTTTGAAATCAAATCTTTGCATGACAGGAAACACAGGCATCTAACATTTAATCTTAAAAAAATAAAGCATATACATAAACCCAAATTGGAAATAAAACAGTTATCATATAAACGTGTCCTATTCTGTGTCCTAAACTCCTGAAACATTGGTGTCTCATATTTTAGAGCAGTCAATGCAATTTGGGAAATAAATTAATTAAATCTGTATGTGGGGGTGTGTGAAAAAATTCAGATGTAACCCCTTTGTAATCTTTAACATTTTCAAAAGTAACTGTAATTTAATTACACATTTTTTCTCAGTAACTGTAACTGATTACAGTTGAATTTATTTTGTAATTAAATTACGCAATTCCATTACATGTAACTAGTTACTCCCCAACACTGGTAATCATCACATAAGCTTCATCATGAGGATTCATGTATTACCTCGCCTCCTCCAACAGGGGCCCTCACGGATGGTGTAGGAGAGCTCTGTAAACTCCAAGTCCACTGCTGAACGCTGAGGCAGGTGAGAAAACCTCTGTGCCTCTGTGATATGGTTCTCCACCTTCTTCAGGTGGGTCAACATGGCAGCATCTGGAGGGGCTCCTCCCGCACGCTTGGTCTCCTCCATGGGAATGGAAACAGACCCCGGCTCTAAGGACTTCGCAGCCATACCAAGAGCCTGGGAAATGTGGGAGGATGCAATGAAAGAAAATGAGAAAATGGTTATCATGTGTAATAATGGCACATTTGTACAGAAGCATAGGAATATCTTTAGTCGCAAAACTACTATCTGCAATCAAATCTACCTCAAATGCAATCTGTTCACACATACACTTGCAGGGGAGAATATATCTTTGATGAGTGGTGTGTAATTTCACGCTCCTATTTGAGTTTGTGATACATATGTGAGGTTGAGCTGGAGCTCAGAGAAAAGGAGGAACAGAAAGGTAGCAAAATTATTCTGCCTCTTGAATGGAAACACAAATGAATCAGGGTGGTCATCATTCTGTATGAACATTCATTCATTCTCACCACATTACATTCTGATTTAATGAAGTGTTTTAAGTTAGGCCAGTTGAATGGCATTAGGACACAAACAATATTACCCCCAGACCATCAAGAAAGATGTTATTTTGAGCATGAAATCAGTGACAGAGGAAGCATCTGCTCAGACCTTAGAATTATGCACTTGGAGACCGTTTCAGTTAGTAGAGTAATTACCCTTGAAGCCAGCGTTTGATGCCGGCGTTTGAAGCTTTGATGGAAAACTTTATTCACTTTTGTGGGGGAAGCTCTCAACATTTCAAAAGAAATGCAGAGCTTTCCTGAGTACAATATGTGCTATTCTTTATTTAGATAATCTAACGATTTTTATAGAATTATCCTCCAATTTTGATTTAGTTGGATTCTCACATTTTCCTGCTGGATGTGGGAAGGCTGAGGTTGTAATTCCAGAAATGCTGTGAGGAGTAAGGATCCGATTACAACCTGACAACAGTATAGTGCTGATTCACATGAACTTTCTGAATGACATAGAATACGAAAATGCCACACACACAGAAACACACACACACATACACGCACACACACACACACACACAGTGTACACAAATATAGTAAATTATATCTTAAAAGAACCAGCTTTCTCAAGAACTTTTAATCACCTAAAGAAATTTTTTCGAATATAAAGAACCCTTATAAAGAACACTTTTGTACAATGGAAAGGTATAGATGTTTAAGGTTCTTCATAGAAACAAAGAATCTTTATTTTTAAGAGTGCAACAGTAACTTTATTAGTCTACACCGTACAAGAATTGCATTACACAAAATGTACACTGTAAAATCCAATAGTTTACCTTACTTAGATTTAGTTAGTTATCTTTACTTAGTTGTTATACTTACTAGGTTTTATTAAGTTACAGCTACTTTCAAGGCAAATAAAACAATTTACTTACTGTTTTGAGTGACACTTACTTAAAATATTCAAGTAGCCACAAAGGAACCAATGACATGAATAAAGCAGTGAGAGGCAGCCGTGCACTAATATGTTGCTAATGTGCAACATAACAACAGAAGAAGAAGAAAAGAAAACGAGTCTTAATAGACTTTTCACTCATTTCCTCCATGTCTGCAGTTATCTTTCACTAGTTGCATTCACTCGTTTCCCAAAGTCATCTTGAATGTTGAATTCTCAATACAACTGAAATATCTGAGAGAACATCACATAAGCTAACTTTATAAATAGATGTTGATTTTCCTAAAATGTGTGTTTTTTTTAACTCACCATTATAGTGATTAGCGTTCCCTTTGGTTGGGCACTTTGAACTTGGTTTACTATAATTTATTTCCTGTTAATGTAGTAATGCATTATGAAGTGAGTAGCTATACTAAGTCATGAGTAAACCTAAATGAAAGGATCAAGTACCCCCTACAGTTATTTTTTAGTTACTAGAACTCTCGTGTAAGTAAACTATACTAACTAAGCATC